TTTTAAATTATTGAAATCTGGTTGGTTGCCTACACAACTTTACATGATACTTCTGCTGTATTCACTTGTGTTTGAGAATGATTGCACCTTGTATCTTCAGTATACACATTAATCCAAATCCAAAACTAACTGTTTAAAATAAGAAATTGTTCAAACAAGTAAAATACCATTCAAGCTTTGATGTAACTCTATTAATGGTCAAGACACAATAAATTTGAGGTTACAAAGTATTAGTTTAAATACTTAAGAAGCTTCTCTGTTGTACACATATAGAATATATTAACCACTCTTGTTCTTTGAAAAAATTAACACATACCATCGTACATTATCACTATAATGTAAGACCTGAAAATCATGTTACATATACTAATCTATTTCAGAAACCATCATGATACAATTTTCAGAAATGTCAGCAAATGTATATTTTTAAGTAATTTCCAAGATTTAAAGTTTATAAAGTCTAATAGTACTCTCTATACACTACTACCTAAGGTTTAAATTAACGTTGTTAAGTCATAGTTAAAAAACTGAGAAAACACTATGAATCTGGATTTAAACAACAACATTCCAACACTTCTAAATAATTAACTAAAAATCTTATTAGTAACAACAGTAATTCATAAAAAGGCCTAACAATTAATTAATATCAAGGTTATCTCCCTAACAGAAATATTATATCTTTTAAATTAATAATATTTGTGTTATTTGATTACTGTTCTACATAGATTCATTCGACGGGAATTGAAGTTTAATGATGAACAACAGGACAATGGCAGCAACAACGAACATCTGACATGTGTATGTTCAGTAACAAACATTTAATTCTTGAATGTTGCGGAATATACATATTCCATCTTCAGCAAGCTATATTGAATATGGTAAATTATTAGGTGTAATTGGTGTATAGTCTTGCCAATGTAAGTGGCATTACAGCCACCATATGTGTATTTGGAATGCATAGGAGTAGGTAATAGGTCTTTAGATAAATATACATGTGATGGCTGTAATGCCACTTACATTGGCAAAACTATATGCCAGTTACACCTGTGAGCCTGCAAACATATGGGAGTATCAAGCAGAACTGGTAAAAAATTATCAAATCTACCAGACTCCACAATTCGCACACATAGTGAAAACACTAACCACCCTGTCTAGATTATGAATTTCAAAGTCATCTCATCTGGATCATCAAATATTGAACTTTTAATTAAAGAAAGTTTATCTACTATAAATGAATTCCCAACTTTCAATAATAACACAACTTCACTACAATTAAATCTGTTCTAAGTACTTGTATAATATCGTTGCATTATTCTACTCTCTATTTATTTGTCTTTTAATTTATTTAATATTTTAATTCTGTATTATAATTACTTTTTATAAAATGTTTAAACTTTGTAAAATGTCGGTACCCAATAACTTACCACGTTCGATATAGCTTGCTGAAGATGGAATATGTATATTCCGAAACGTTCAAGAAATTAAATGTTTGTTACTGAACATACACGTGTCAAATGTTCGTTGTTTCCGCCATCATCCTGTTCTGTGTAGTACCATAAAACAAAATAGTTTTTAAGTATTTTGTAATAAGAATAAAACATAAAACTACCTTTACACGGCAACAGTTTTCTTTCTCTTGGTATCATTTTGCTTTTACTGGAATTTAATATCTTCTTCATTCCTCCTTGTTTGACACAAGGCTTAGGGGGAGGAAGAGAACTACCCATAGGAACTGACTTCACAACAGCATGATGTTGCTGTTGCACAGAAATAGGAATGCTTTGGCATTCTGGCTCAGGTACTGGTAATGGAGATAACACCAGATTGGTAGAGTCTACTGATGAAGAAGATGTAGGTAAGAAGTGTTCCTTCTTATCTGTTGATGCAGAATTTACTTTTTTTTTCATCATGAGAATATCAGGCAGTATCCTTTCCACGCGTACCACTGGAGCCATAGCATGGTTTTTCTGTGGCTTTGGAGTTTCTGCATTCTTTAACTTTGAAATGTTTCTTGCTCTGATATCCACTAGAGAAGTTTCTGACGGTTTTAATTGAGATGCAGAATGACCAGCTGATGACTTCATATTTATATGAGCTGATGATGATAATGATTTGTTAGGCACAATTGCATGAGATGATAAGGCTAAGTTTGCTTTTACCAAGTTAACCTTTGAGACAGTATCAGTACTGGCAGAATCTTGTTCAGAAAAAGCCAGTGGATTTTTACCATGCCTTACTTCTGAAAAAATAAAAACATTTATAATTACTCAAAAAGAACAAAATGCTCAGTCATCATGTTGAGAAGTTTAATAGTAAAATGTAAATAATATGAAAAAGGATGAAAGAAATCTATTGTCCTTCAATAATTACAATATCATTATTGATAACTAACAAATACATTAACTACATGTATATGACTGATTTTAAATACAAATACTACTTAAGGTACATACCTGAAATCTGTGTTATCCTATACAGTTAGTTATTAATACTTCTAAAACATTCCATATCAAATGTAAAAAATACATTAGAGCTCACAATCACTCTATAATTTATTTGAAACTTACTTTCTAAGATGAATTTCAACCAGCATTTGCTGAAAAATGATTTCAGAGACAGTGCAAAGTAGTGACATAAAAATTTGTGAAAAAAAAAGTGAATATTATACAGTAGCATAATTTTTACAAAGAGCACTATGCCCTGAAATTATAAAACAGCTTTAAATATCACTGGAGAAGGGTGTATATGCAAATTCATGTACTTGTCCAGCAGATACATTGAGTATTGGCACAAACTCTTCTAGAAATTCACTCCTGCTTCAAGAGGAATGGTTTAATAATAGCTTTTTAAATAAGAAGTAAATATATTTCTCTTTACCTACTTGTCTTTAAAATTAATGTACAATACAGAAAATTGAATAAGTGATATTAATATAATATTGAATATGACAATCATGGCCAATATAAAGTCTTGGTGGAATGGGATTTATCAGATTTGATTTTGATAGTTTGGTATTTTGTAGGTAGTGTGATGCAACCAAAAACTGAAAACTTTTGGGAAGAATATGCAACAGCTCTTTCCAATGCAAATTACTCATACACTCTGATCATAAAAATGGGTTCATATTGGGGATTTAGAATTTTCAAGATGGGGATATCCCTTGTACTTAATGGCATTGAAAACTAATGGAATATGGATCAATTTTGGGCACCAGGTCTGTTCAAAAAGATTTGAAACAAACTGTACCCAACCACAGTAAGCAAAATGTAACAGGTGAAAATCGTGAAACACAAAACTCAGTGGCAAAGCCGCTTATGCACCAACGGCAACACTACATAACATAATAAAGAAGGATCTCTAACTGTAAAAGCAAGAAGTCATATATACAGACTTTCTTCCATGCCCTATCTGTTCAACAGAGCTGGAGAATAAAATGTATATTCATATTATTTTATATGAAGCCATACCCAACAAGCCATCAAATATAGTGCCTATGGATTGCTGTGTGGTCATATTGTTAACACAAGTGCTGGAAAACAATCGTCTCATACACTAAATGAAGCATGGAAAGAACAGAGGAAGGAGTGGTGTGCTTAGGAAGTGCAGCCTTTTACAATGGAAATATGTTCCAGGGTTATTGTAAAAATGCAGGATCATCAGATAGAGCATGACTGGGCATGGAAGCATGGATTGTAACTAGATAGTAAGACTCCAAAATTGTTTTAATATAATGCACTTAACCTCTGTATAGTGCCATCTATACCAGTATGCTAGTTACTAATTTATACTGGTTTTTATTGTATTTTTAATGAACTCTTGAATTAATATTCTGAAAGTCAGAAAGGTAATTAAGTGTGGTGGAAAGCATACCAAACACTATTGTGAATCACTCTTTATTGCTCCAGCTGTTATGTTATGGTACACATAGGAAAAGGTTATTGTAGTACAGGTCAATAACTTTTTAGTGTCTATTAGTTTTGTACTTTTTAGGTCTCTAAAATGTCATTTTCTGAAATCTGTCGTGTAAAATTGTTCTGTTTCAGCCATTAATGAAATTAACACCTAACTAAATATTAGGGGAACTGTTATACTGCTCTGCTTAATAGGCTGGACAAAGTTTTGTTTCCTGGAAAGAAAAGTTTTTGGTTTCAAGATAAAAGAAAAGGAAAAGCTTCAAATGAGGCTTCCTTTAATTCCTATGTTCACCACATGTGGAAGTGAAAAAATAATAATGATTTGGCTGGCAGGGGTAACTAAAGTAATAAAAGTTAACACAAACAAAACAGCTGATTGTTATAATTAATCAAATATTTTAGAATTTCCTCAAACTTCAGTAAGAAAATATTATGGATTTCAACAGCAGTAAAGAAATTTCAAAGTTAATTTCATTATATGAATGGATTAAAGTATTGCCAAAAGAACAAATGCGCAAGAACATCAATGTTCACAAAACATTAGAAGTGTGTGTATCATATTTTTTAAAGTTTAACAAAAAGCTTCAGCTACGAAAACAGATTGAAATGACTTCTCTGCACACAGGCATGAAAGGCTGATAAGAATCAAATCCTGAAGACTACTTTTAATAGCTATTAGGCGTTTTATCAAGTCCTTTCTGAGAAGATTTATAAATGGACAGCTATGAGATGACAAGGTTTTGAGGTTAAATAAAAGTGATCTGATATGGTATAACCATCACCAATACTTCACTCTTCAACATTACATGCATTTTTGGAAAAGCTAATGGATTTGCTCCAGGACTTCAAGTTACTATGTTTAACATAATAACGGATGCCAAATGTTTCATTTAGTTCTTCCAACTAAATGGTTGAGAAGTTTGTTCGATAAAATTTACGGACTGCAAGGTTTTCCGTTTTGAACGCTAGCCCTAACAGTAACAGACTGTTTTATTTACGATAATTTAACTAATTCATCTTGAGAAAAAAACTGATTCTACAATATGTGGTTCAAGCACTTTTGATCTTCAAGGTCAAATGATGGTACGTTTGAGTGGAGGTTTAATACACACTTTTTTAAGAACGAGTTGCATAAGTGAATACAGTGGCGTATCGCCGAAGATGCAAGGCCGCAGTGCTAAAGGCGACAAGGTTTAAAACTTATTTGACTTACGGTTCGACCATTCGATAGTATAATGTCACCACGTCTAGAGTTACCACTGCGAGAACATATTCAGTCACCGAACTGGTTAAAATTCCGAAAATGGATCGAATAAAAACAACCAAATTCACTATTAAATCACGATGCTAATTGGCTCAGCTTGTGCCATAAACGCTAACAGAAAAATGGCGCCTACTTAATTTCAATTATTGTTAATACTTTAATTTGAACGGTTCATCCTTTGTAATTTCCATTTTTGATGTAACTTGGCAATAACCAGTTTCGATCATTTATTATAAATTGTTGAATTTATCTGCGAATCGTCTAATAATAAGTTATTTTATAAAGATTAAAAATAACTGCACGATAATAAATAGGTTCTTAAGAAAGTAAGATTTTTCAGTATTTTATCGAGATGTACGGGATTTTAAATTTGTTTGTTTAAATCTCCATAATTGTAACAAAAATACTAGGATGTCCTTGTATCCATATTGCGAAATGACAAATAGTTATGTACACACCAATTTTTAAAATGACTATATAAAACGCAGTGAAAGTATTAACAAGATATGACCATTACATCCATATAATTAGAATCTTACCACAGCAGACTAAAGGGACAGTTACGCCATAAGATTTGGGGAGGGGGCCTGGGATGGCTTAAGCTCTCCCACTTCTCTTTTAAACCCACCTCATGGATTGTGCAGATGGCTAAACGGCTCACGGGGCCTGGGATGGCTTAAGCTCTCCCACTTCTCTTTTAAACCCACCTCATGGATTGTGCAGATGGCTAAACGGCTCATGGGGCCTGAAGGATTTTAAACTAAAATAACTACCAAGATTAGATTACATGTGTAGATAGCTTCTGGTCCTCTCTCATAGCACAAGAATTTAGTACAGTATACATAAACAATGTATATTATACCTCAATATGATAGTGGCTTCGGAGATAAAAACCACTGCAAAAGCAAAAATGGGATTGTTCTAGGTCGTCTAAGCATATTAAGGCCCCAATTTTCACCTTGGCTCCAATCCCTACCCGCTAAGCCCCAAATACTGTAGTGCAGCGTTTCTCAAATTGTGGGGCGCGAGCGATTAGGATGGAGTCAATAATGCAAAATTAAGTGTTTTAATACATTTTTATTAAGAAAAATAATAAGTAATTACTAGAACACCGATAGCATTTTAATGTGTATCCGTGTGTTGCATCTCATTTATTAACTCACTCATTTAAAAAAAGTGGTGGCGCACAAAAAAAAAATAATATATTTAATAGAAGGTGGCGTGGATGACAAAAGTTTGAAAAACGCTGCTGTAGTGAATGCACGTGAATAACGTATTTACAAAAACATTACATCTTGGTGGTAGAAACGGAAAACAAGGAACATAATCTGAACATTTCAAAATTTCCACAAAAATAAAACAAAAAACGTTGTTTTTCTTTTATGTGTGGTGATTGAATGACAGGAAAATGACCTGTAAATAAAGAAAACTATTATAATACGTAAGTGACAGTGGACGAAGTATTAATGGGTAGGGGAGAGACACTCAGAAAGACTGTGCACAAAAAGGCTTTCCCCCCTCCCAACACCTTTCATACCTTTATAAGCCACCGACTTTCAACTTCCAACATGATATAAAAAACGCATGTTTTTTTTTCGGGCTTTCTGGTTGGTGCGGGTTTTTCATATAATAAAAAAAGTAAACTTCACAAAGTGTACAGTAAGCAAAGATGAACGAGTTTCTATTAAAAGTTATTGATACCAGTTACGCAAGGTGGAAGTCTCGTACTGTATAGTCAGAATACCAAGAAGACAGCTATATTAGAATAGTGTTAAATAACACATCTGAGCGATGTTTCTGTGAACCATGGAGAATGAAACCACTAATCATCCTATTTCGTTCTTTTCCGACATACCCGTGAAGACATCTACTGAAAGTGAGATAATTATAGCTCAGAATAAATACAAATTAAACAACGTCTTAGCAACTTAGTTTTTTATTTAAGGTCAAGTAGAAAAAAGTCAATGACTTAAAATTATTGCTCTTTGTCGTACTATGATAGGTAACTGCCTAATGTAGGCAAAAGGCCAACACGTCATTGTGATATCGTGAAGTTTAATG